ATATTCCATAGGGCATCAAAATCGGGTGATGTCCCCTTAAACATGTCTCTGAGAGACTGATTTTTCACTCAAAGTAGTAAAAAGAGCGAAAAAATCATCTTAAAGTAGATTTTATTTTTGAGCAGAAAAAGCGGAAAAAAGATCGGAATCGCATGCGCAGTGCGGTTTACAAAAAGAGCGAAAAAATCGTGAGCGGAAAAAGCGATTTTTTTTACAAAGTTGGGACACCCTATTATTTATATTTTATTTTAAGTGTCCCAAAATCCAGTGAGGAGTTAGTTTATGTCTTTCTCCAGGATTTCGTATAATGCCCATTGACAGAAATATACTGATCAGTATATTTCTAAATGGTTTATGCGACAGGCTTGTAGGGTCGAATAAAGAGCACTGTTCACCTCGAGGAAGGAAACTGACTCTGTGTTGATCGAATGTGACTCCAGCATCTGCCCTATGACTGTTTGGGTATGCAGAAATGTATGACGATTTTGTACATAGATATGTATGTAAATAGGTACATACATACATACATAAGCATGGTAAGTGCATATGTAAATATATATACACATCCAGGGACATTAATGCCGGGTACGTTTAACAACCTTTATAAATTTTGCCTTTCAAGATATTGTTTAGCAAGGCGTTCAAGTTGTGAGCCATACATAAGTTATGACTTGTATATACGAGTATTTAGGATAGGACGAGCTTTTAGTTAAAGATATGCTGAAAAACATGGGACTTATTTAATTCCTTTCGATTTTCTGAAGATGACGGAAGGCATCCAACTTATGAAAACTATGTACTTGTGACTACTTGTTTAGAAATTTGGAGGTGGCATAATTACAACTGAAAAGGACTCCAATTTGTGCATTCGTTAAACAATTGAATCCTCATAGCAAATATAGAGAGCACGTATGTATGTAAATGTAGATATTCAATAAATTGACAGACAATGGCAATTATTTAATATGTACTTTATTTTGTTTGTAATTGTCGGGATATTTAATCCTTTACAAATTTACCTTATTTAACCTTCTAAAGCTGAATTGAAATAATATTTAAGAAGCGTGGTGTCTGGTGAAACTGGTGAAACTCTTGCGTCTCGTATAGACATCAAGCCCTTAGTTTTTTATGTATTCAAAGGAAAAACTGTATTCTATTTATGTTGATACCACATTACCACAAATTCCATCCCTCAATTGAAAACGTATTGTCTAAGCATGTGGTCGCAATTGTCATTTCATACTTCCCCTGAATTATCACTAGTGAATGGTGATAATTGAAAGGATAAGTGAAAGGTAATATGTATGTACTGATTAATTCACCACAATCAGCCTGTGGTCCACAGGCTGATTAAATTACCACACTGGTCTCATGTATTTATGTACATACGGGTAAGTCGATGGGTACATACATATACGGATAAGTACATTCTTAGGAAACTGGTATTAAATCTATATTTGGTTTAATTAAACCATTACTGACCGTAGTACATTTAAGTATTTATGACTCCACCGGCACGGATATAGAGTACATTGCCGTTTAGTAATCTCTGGTAATGAAAAATTTACCACTCAGCAACAAGCTACTACCATCATCAAGCTACTATCATCTGGTTGGAAGTTATGGCCAAATCAATACCAGTACGGAGTATATATGTGACTCTAGGGTCTCCCAAGTTTGTAAAAAAGATCTGAAAAAGCGAAAAGCTAAAAAATCTGAAATCCGTTTTTTTCGCTCAATACTTGACTGTCCCGATTTTTTATCGCTTGAATACTCAGGAGCAGAGAATGGGTGGTCAGGAGACTTTCGAGTTTCTTTTAAAATTTAAATTTGCTTCATGTTGGATATGATAAAACAACTATCTAAGATCATGTAAATCCAAAAATTGCCAAAATGGGATGAAAATAGGATTTTTGGCAAAGGTTTGAATGCGGTAGTTTTAGTGGTTGCAATGCTTTTCAGGGGGTGTGGCGGGCGCAGGTGGGGACATGGAGTAAAATCCTCCTTCACTTTCCATACACTCACCTGATATTGCAATATATTCCATAGGGCATCAAAATCGGGTGATGTCCCCTTAAACATGTCTCTGAGAGACTGATTTTTCACTCAAAGTAGTAAAAAGAGCGAAAAAATCATCTTAAAGTAGATTTTATTTTTGAGCAGAAAAAGCGGAAAAAAGATCGGAATCGCATGCGCAGTGCGGTTTACAAAAAGAGCGAAAAAATCGTGAGCGGAAAAAGCGATTTTTTTTACAAAGTTGGGACACCCTATTATTTATATTTTATTTTAAGTGTCCCAAAATCCAGTGAGGAGTTAGTTTATGTCTTTCTCCAGGATTTCGTATAATGCCCATTGACAGAAATATACTGATCAGTATATTTCTAAATGGTTTATGCGACAGGCTTGTAGGGTCGAATAAAGAGCACTGTTCACCTCGAGGAAGGAAACTGACTCTGTGTTGATCGAATGTGACTCCAGCATCTGCCCTATGACTGTTTGGGTATGCAGAAATGTATGACGATTTTGTACATAGATATGTATGTAAATAGGTACATACATACATACATAAGCATGGTAAGTGCATATGTAAATATATATACACATCCAGGGACATTAATGCCGGGTACGTTTAACAACCTTTATAAATTTTGCCTTTCAAGATATTGTTTAGCAAGGCGTTCAAGTTGTGAGCCATACATAAGTTATGACTTGTATATACGAGTATTTAGGATAGGACGAGCTTTTAGTTAAAGATATGCTGAAAAACATGGGACTTATTTAATTCCTTTCGATTTTCTGAAGATGACGGAAGGCATCCAACTTATGAAAACTATGTACTTGTGACTACTTGTTTAGAAATTTGGAGGTGGCATAATTACAACTGAAAAGGACTCCAATTTGTGCATTCGTTAAACAATTGAATCCTCATAGCAAATATAGAGAGCACGTATGTATGTAAATGTAGATATTCAATAAATTGACAGACAATGGCAATTATTTAATATGTACTTTATTTTGTTTGTAATTGTCGGGATATTTAATCCTTTACAAATTTACCTTATTTAACCTTCTAAAGCTGAATTGAAATAATATTTAAGAAGCGTGGTGTCTGGTGAAACTGGTGAAACTCTTGCGTCTCGTATAGACATCAAGCCCTTAGTTTTTTATGTATTCAAAGGAAAAACTGTATTCTATTTATGTTGATACCACATTACCACAAATTCCATCCCTCAATTGAAAACGTATTGTCTAAGCATGTGGTCGCAATTGTCATTTCATACTTCCCCTGAATTATCACTAGTGAATGGTGATAATTGAAAGGATAAGTGAAAGGTAATATGTATGTACTGATTAATTCACCACAATCAGCCTGTGGTCCACAGGCTGATTAAATTACCACACTGGTCTCATGTATTTATGTACATACGGGTAAGTCGATGGGTACATACATATACGGATAAGTACATTCTTAGGAAACTGGTATTAAATCTATATTTGGTTTAATTAAACCATTACTGACCGTAGTACATTTAAGTATTTATGACTCCACCGGCACGGATATAGAGTACATTGCCGTTTAGTAATCTCTGGTAATGAAAAATTTACCACTCAGCAACAAGCTACTACCATCATCAAGCTACTATCATCTGGTTGGAAGTTATGGCCAAATCAATACCAGTACGGAGTATATATGTGACTCTAGGGTCTCCCAAGTTTGTAAAAAAGATCTGAAAAAGCGAAAAGCTAAAAAATCTGAAATCCGTTTTTTTCGCTCAATACTTGACTGTCCCGATTTTTTATCGCTTGAATACTCAGGAGCAGAGAATGGGTGGTCAGGAGACTTTCGAGTTTCTTTTAAAATTTAAATTTGCTTCATGTTGGATATGATAAAACAACTATCTAAGATCATGTAAATCCAAAAATTGCCAAAATGGGATGAAAATAGGATTTTTGGCAAAGGTTTGAATGCGGTAGTTTTAGTGGTTGCAATGCTTTTCAGGGGGTGTGGCGGGCGCAGGTGGGGACATGGAGTAAAATCCTCCTTCACTTTCCATACACTCACCTGATATTGCAATATATTCCATAGGGCATCAAAATCGGGTGATGTCCCCTTAAACATGTCTCTGAGAGACTGATTTTTCACTCAAAGTAGTAAAAAGAGCGAAAAAATCATCTTAAAGTAGATTTTATTTTTGAGCAGAAAAAGCGGAAAAAACATCGGAATCGCATGCGCAGTGCGGTTTACAAAAAGAGCGAAAAAATCGTGAGCGGAAAAAGCGATTTTTTTACAAAGTTGGGACACCCTTCTATATACCAGTTTTTTAGCAGTGTACATATATTTGGAAAATTGGGCCGTAATAATGTTTCATTCATGTATTTATCAATCCAGGATGAATTTATCTGTAATTAAGTAACTAACAAATTCAGTGAATCGGGCAGAAGAAAAGCGACGGAATTAAAATATGCATATCTCAATTTTCACATTCTCTGTCGATTTTGAACATGCCTTGATATTTTCTTGAATGCTAAATCTAACGCGCAGTAAGTTTAGAAGGTGTAAATTTGCCAACTTGTGGCTCATTTTTACTTACCTCTGGATGCAATTATCTCCGACAAACTTGAGCATTGGGAGATAGTCTTTCTTCAAATTTCATACAAATTAAATTTGTGATCGATTGTCACCAATTTGGTAAAAATCTTAGAACTTACGCTGGGAGCATTAAGTACTTATAACTTGGCCAATTTTTACCAAATCGCATTCGCAAGGGATACGAGATTGGATTAATAATTGTAACACAAAAATAAGTATGTACTTCATCGACTTCTCCCGAGTGCATATTTATCATGTATGTTTCTACACATGTACATATGTATGTGTATGAGATCAATCAAAGATTGGAAATTTGACGCATTATCTTTCCCCTTATCGTCTCCATCCCCGATAAGCGTGGTCTTCATCAACATAAATACGGGTCGAATCGCTCTCAGTGACCCATTATTCCCCCTTTACCATAATCCTCGTTTATAATTCTAATTATCACTATGCTAAAAACAGTCACTCTCATCGCCCTCCTCGTCTCGGACTCCGCAGCCTCCGCCATCCATGGGGCGTCTCTCGTCCAAAAGGGAGCTGACGCCACATTCGATGCCACAATTTTGGGCATCGTTGATCCCGCGCACAGATGCGAAAATGGTGTCGGACTTCCTCAACAGCTCCGTATTTCTGATTGTGAGGGAAGATGCCAATTCAACCCTGGACAGATATATAACTGCGAGTTGGACTTTTTATCAGGCGGTAATAAAGTGAAGCTTGGCAGACATATGGGACAAAGAAATACTAAATTTATGTATGTAACTACCCTTGAATCTTGTTAATTTTTAACTCCACAGGCTCAGAAACCCATTCACTCACCTTGCAGATCGAGATTTGCATGATCGAATCAGTATCCTGCACGGTCATCTTGAACGTTGAGCTACCAAATTCGCCTGTTCAGCCAGGATTTATGTACACAGTGAAATATTCAATTACTCCAGACGAAGTCTTGTCCGGGCAGGCTGTCGAGTTTTATACGAGATTATTTAACACGAAGTTCGACATTTTGCAAGTTTGCGTTACGGCAGAAATCGACATCTTGTAGAGAATTGGAACACGAAATTAGACGCGAGTGTGACTACTACTAATAAACTAACTAATAAGCTAACTAATAAAATGTATGTATTTACGTACGAAATATCTGTACAACAAATAGCATCAAATAATAATTTTTTCATATTTACTTACAATATTATCCATAATTTTTTTAGTCTACGGAGTGGCCAAATTTCTGTGTCAAATTAATTTTCTTATTTATTGTTTTACAGTTTTTTAGTATATGTGTAAGCATTTAAGCGTACGTTATGTGAATATCTGACATCAGTGTATGCAATTTTAATTGATCTATATTTTTGCATGTCGCTATTTACTGATGATTGAAGTAGGAAGGTTATGGGACGAACTAATTGACTCGTTAATCAATTACAATTACGTATTGACCACCCTCCAAATCATTATCGAGCTAAATATGTACATATATAACTACATATATAAATGCACAACTGCATATGTACATGCATTTGCTGATTGACGTCAGTACGGGATTACATTGATGTACCTACTACTCAACGATGGGATTTATAAATTGACATCTGCCCCGACACATGTAGATTGATTGATTCCCTATCAATGATAAATTTACACCGCTGGATTTTCCCGATAATCTGCTTATCCGTACATTCAAATGTATAGTATACAATGATGTCACACAAAAATGTAAATTTTTGTGTGATGTAGTTTATGTTCCCTGATCCTACGTCAGTTGGGGGAAACATGTAGCGAAATTGGTTTATGTTAATTGTTGGTTAAGAGTGTTTCTTTTCGCTAAAAACACTTTCATACGTTTATAAACTTTATTTTAAAGTTGTGTCCCAAGTTTTTTAATCTTGGTTCATGAAATTTTTCATGCAAATTCTGTATGTACATATAAATTCATCAAGCCTGGAGTGATGAGAATTTATTGCATTTTGCACTAGATTGATTTTACACAATTTTGCACAATTTAGTTTGACACATTCGGTTTTTTTATTCTATCAGTAAATTTCTATGTACTATCGGAAGCAGAGAAATTTCGAAGTTTTATTCATAATCACAACTTCAATATATCCATTTTTGTTTACACAAACGCATTCACAAATTTCCCAATGGCTTCTTCATTCTCAATAAAGAACTTTTCAAATAGGGTTACCAACTCGCCGTCGGTGGCCATTCCCTTGTCGACCGGTCCCAATCCCCTCTTAATAAACTGAACGATTCCCATTAAAGCAGTCTTATCATTTTGATTGACCTCCTTGTCCTTGTCGCATCCGGCATCGGCGCATTTTTCCAAATTCTGCCCATCCTCGGCAACCTTCTTCAAGGCCGAGTTGGTCGAGTGGAGGATATGTCGGGTTAGGTGGATCATGTGCGGGCGGGCTTTTTGTCGCACGAGGGCCAAGTATTTCAAGCAGACTTGAGTCAGGAATGAGACGCTGGGAGAGATTGGTTTCTTTCCGATTCCGGGCAGAAAGGCGGTCGGTGTCCAGCTCGGTGGAAGCGCAGATTTGTGAACGGTTGTAAACGCGACGAGTTCCGCGGCGGAGGTCAGTGTAACCAAATCTTTTAAGGGGAGGATTGGTTTTGTCCTTGGGGAAAGGGAAGTTATTTATTTTAGTGAAATATCTAGGATATTATTAGTGGTTTAAGCAAGAATTAAGGGACAATTCAAGTCGCTGTGCAACTTACAAACCAAAAATATCATAATCTTCCTACATAAATAAATTTGATAAATTCGCATCAATATCATCTGGCAATAAATTTTGCACATAAAATGACCGATATGCACAAGTTCGCAAATCATTTTTCAATCCAATTTTCTTAAAAAAGTTGAGAACTTGTGAACCTTTTATTTGGCCAATGGTACTGTATAGTTGCCTGAATATCTATGTCACGCTTTAGTGGTTTTGTATTGCATAATTTTGCGAAATTTATGTACATACGTATATGAGGCAATAAATATACATACGTATACTCACAGAAAATCATGTCCCTCCTTAAACTCAAAGTGTGGATTGGCCCAGTTTACCACTCCAGTCGTGAGGGTCAACTCGAGGAGCGGTTTCATGTATGCAAAGCAATCTGTACGGAGCGCCTTTTGATAAAAATCTAGCGCTTCGTGTGAAGTAGAAAAGTTTTTTCCAGCTCCAATCGCACCGGAAGTCGGACAGTTTCCAAATCCGTAAAATATTGGACCATCCGTTATGTTTTCGTGGGAAGAGTACGCTCCTGGAGAAATTGATGCGGAAAACTGGGTCTTCCAGCCAGGATATTTCTTTAAAGGGTCATCCACCAGTTTGGAGACATCTGAGACAAAATATTCTGTTAATTTATGAAGTCAGATTTCGCAATCTCTCAGATTCTAGTAAATTTCAAAAATTCACTCAAAATAAGTTAGTAACAAAACCGGCATCGCATGTCGGTCCGCCACTTTGGTAAAGATTTGCCACCGAATGGTAACTCAGTTATCAGAAAATTCAAATTCGACGCTTCCAGGTCACAAATTGATTAAAATGGGGTGACATCCTTTGAAAACTATTAATTATTACCCTTCTGTGGTACATTTTTACCAACGTGGTAGAGTGACTACACGCGATGAAGATTTTTTACCGAACTAGCAAATTCTCATCCATAATGGCCTTTAATTGTCCTAGTGAAAAAATGCATCACTTTACCCCGCTTCTTCCTCCCCATTGTTTCTGCGAGGGCCATTGCCGTACCCACGACTTCCATTCCGATTCCCGCGGCAGCTGAGCCCACGTGAGCAGCGACGCAACCAATTGTTGTAAGGGAACAGACCAGGTCGGTTGTCGACTGGACAAGGGATCCAACCATGCTAGAGATATGGACATAAATCTGTTAAAATCATCGGCATAATCGAAGTTACCCGAATTCGGGTTAATTACTGAACTAACCCTGCAATAATGTCGGCTCTTCCAAGCACCGAGTTAATTTCTAGGTCGAGATACAAATCGTAATTCTCGTTCGGGTCGGAACTATCGCCGGTTTTTATGGGAAGCTTGTCCAACTCGTCGACGACCACTTTGGAAGGTTCCTTCTCCCTGAAGGGGGGCAATGTGGGGTACGCGATATTGATATTGATGAAGCAGGGCAGTATGACACTGTAGGCGCAGGATATCGCCAAATTTTGAAAGGGTTGCCGCCCGTGGACGAAATGCTCGTCGAACGTCGTCCATTCTACGACGATCTTTTTGGACAGGCCGGAAGCGTCCGTGATTGTTGAGGTAGTTTTGTCCAGAGGTGCGGCATCTCTAGAGGAAAAATTGTCATGTGTTAATGCAAAACTTGGCAAAATTATCAATTTTAATGCAAATGTAAGGGGACGTTCGTAAACTTCATAATGCAAATTTTGGTTTTTTGGACACCCGCTTTAACATGTGTCACATCATTGTGCCCTGACTAACCACCACCCACCCACTCTTTGCGTAATGAAGGTTCCAAAATTTGTAAATTTTCCGTTTCATATAAACCATGACGAGATTTTTAAGAAATAATCACTCACCGAATTATAGCTACTTGTCCGTAATACGAGTCAGTCCCGCCCGCCTTATTTCTTCGCAAGACGATGTAAATTCGCTTCCCCTTTTTGAAAGGGAGCTTGTCCTCGTCTCCCGTTAAAAGAATTGCATCTTTCCCAGCGTCGTCCCCATTTCGCTCGTAGGCAGGAATCCCACCCTCGTCCCCTTTAAATCTGTACGTGCTGTGGAGATTCGTCTTATCTTTGTGCTGGACGAGGAGCGAGTCGTTCCGAAAAGTTGACACGTCCCCGGAAACGGCGCTCTGTTGGAGAATCACTTCCTCCAAAGATGCACCCCCACACCGGGATGTAAATGCGGTGACAATGAAGACAATCCAGGCAATATGGGGAGCCATACTTATTTAGTCTACGCCTCCAGACAGAGTGGTGACCAGAATTTACATTTTTTGACAGTGATGAAAAGAATGAGATTTTAGGTGGTGTATTTTAATAACAATAATGGCAAGTGCATTTCCTTGTTATATAATTAATGAGTGCAGGCCGGTATATCTCTCGATCCATTGTGGAGTTGTCACGCCGAAGTTTGTGAGGAAAATGTCAAAAATATTTGCATACATACATACAAAATGTAAGTACATATGTTGTATGTACTTATGTAGTCATGTTCTTTGCCTGGAAGTTTTTACATGCATTTGGTTTTGAGCAACATGTGTATTCGTAATTATCAGGAAAGAAGATAATTTTATAAAAGCATACTGAGATTATATATGTACATAATTCGGTAAGCTTTGTAATTTATGAAGAAAGCCGCAAATTTTCCTGGGATGCATGCGCTGTATTTAAAGTTACCTAAATTTAAAAGACGAGCAGAAGTTGGTACGCATGTACATATAGGATAATGGCTTCCATTAGTCTGTCAAATCGGAAAATACAGATATTGTTATGTGAAAACAATGCAACAATTAAAAATTAATATGACATGGATGGACATCATTTAAATAATTTTTGTCTGAACTGCTTCATTAAAATAAATTGGATCATTGTATCAAATGTCATTTATAACTTGATATTTCAAGCAAACAAGTCGCAAATTTATGAAGAGGTACATATAAGTATGTGCATGGACACATGTAAATAAAATTTGCATATGTACAGCACCAGGGCATAAATTTAAACCCACCCGTATGCTGCGCGCCCCGATAGCTCAAGCTTATCAGTAGATTTTATTTAGCCATCGGGTTTAGGTTTATGTTGTACAGAATTTAACTGGCTTTCCAACGGTACTACATTTGGTTATGAAAAAACTAACGGGTATGCGTAATTAATCATACCAGAAAAAAACACAAAAAAATTAGCTGCAAAAGTTTAAACCCGCTTCTTATTAAAAATTGCTTCATGACGAAGGGGGGTTAAGGCATGGGTTTAACAATTATTTACATTCATCCTAGGTACTCTACTTGCAGAAAAAGCTAAAAAATGTAACCCCCCTTCGTCATGAAGCAATTTTTAATAAGAAGCGGGTTTAAACTTTTGCAGCTAATTTTTTTGTTTTTTTTTCTGGTATGATTAATTACGCATACCCGTTAGTTTCTTCATAACCAAATGTAGTACCGTTGGAAAGCCAGTTAAATTCTGTACAACATAAACCTAAACCCGATGGCTAAATAAAATCTACTGATAAGCTTGAGCTATCGGGGCGCGCAGCATACGGGTGGGTTTAAATTTATGCCCTGGTCCTGTATATGTGTACTAGTATGTAATGTATTTAATGTAAATAAGTATGTACGTACATACATCGGTATCACATATTATATTAACGTTTTGATGTATTGAATTATTGTTACCGTTTTTATTCCTATCCATTGAGTTAAGATATGCGATCGGATAACATATAAAGGTCATGTTAAAAAAATTCTTCATGTTCAACAAGAAAATTTGTTCACATTTTTTCATGAAAACTATATTTTATTCATTTACAACTTCATTTCAACATCAATCAAAAATGAAATATGAAATTTAAAAATAAGTATATCACAAATTTCAATAAAGAAAGTCTTGCTACCGTACAATGGAAGTTTAATCAGTCAAAACCCATCGCTTCTCTTTGGATTTGAAACCAGGGTTCAAACCATAACATGGCTTGTAGTCGTCCCACATTTGGAAACATTTCCACAACCCGGGGGCAATGCAGTTGTATCGGAAGTTCGAGATGAACCAGAGTCTCACAAACCTGAGCTCCGGCTTCAATTGGAAAAAACGTTTCCGAACAAAGTCTCACTTGGTCCATGAGAATTGGCCGAGGTAGTAACGTCAAAGATTGAAGTAATGGGAAATTGTGGGCATAATTGAGATACTGATTTCCTCCCGCAGGGAAAGTGAGGATGACACCGTCATTATTGTTCTTAGTGCGTGGCCAGATCACCTTGAGAACTTTCAGCGAATACAGATCACTTAAAGAAGGATGAAGATATGGTTATTGTTTCAGTATAGGGAAATGGGGTTCCAAATGCTGTGATTGGCTGACGGTTTTTGTGGGCATCCGCCCATAAAAACAGGGCCGTGGCACAACTCAATTTTTCCCAATCTCAATTTCCCATTACTTGGAAATCTCACTCCTTTCTTGACACCAAAATCAGGTGTCTCCTTTACCATCATTATTGCTGCCAAACTCGGAAAAGCTGAGTAATTAAAAGATTATTTAATATCCTACAAATTAATTTTCTGACATCCACTCAATTACATAAATCGGTTCAACTCACCACAAGTTAAGCTCTAAGCTTCAACTCTCAGTAAGTAGTAAAAGAATTACTATTTTCTTTCAACAATGAACGGTGGGGACACAAATATGGTGGTGACACGTTCATTTTTACGAGTGATTTGGATGTTAATTTATTGCGATTTATTTGTTCAGGTAACTGCTAAGGACAATTTTTCATCCATTAATTTTGCGACCTCTCTGCCGTGCCCCCACCAGAAATCTGTGTCATCGCCGGCCAACCTGGTAAATAACAACTTTAACTGGATTCTGCAACAATAAGGACCAAGGAACTTGTATTTCGTAATGCACTATATTTTATTGAAGTATACACTCATCAATTACCATTAGTTGTTGTTCGTGACCTGGTAACAGTGTGAAATTGTCGGAAACTTCGTTAAAGTTTTACAAGATTCAAAAATAGTTTCTCATATAATGAACGGTGAATACACATATATGTACATTCATGTATGGTGAAAACACGCTCATTGTTGGAAATTAAGTTCCACTAAATTTATTTTTGTGAATTGCAGATATAATATTTGTGCCAATTGTTACTCAATATTGTGACCTATTGCCCCTTCCTCCACCAGATCCGTGTCTCCACCGGTCAATTTATCTGATCTATCAGTGTGCGTTTATACAAAGCAAATTCAAATTATATAATAATGAACGGTGGAGACACATTAATATGGTGGAAACACGTTCATTATTGCAAGCAACTGTTATATCAATATTTCCTTGTTATTTTGTTTAATTACAGACTCATCAATTACTATGAGACCTTGTTCGTGACTCGGGAATAGTGTGAAATTCTCAGGAACTTCAGTAAAGTTTACCAGGTTCAACCATAATATTAAAATAATAGTTTATTATCTCCAAAAATTAAAAAAGCAACGAACGGTGGACACACACATGTATATGGTGGAAACACGTTCATTTTAATTACAGATTCGCCTTCATGTACTCAAATTCAGTGTGACTTTATCAAAACCTTCTTCAAAATCTTCTTAAAATAAACAATTAACGGTGGAGACACATAAATATGGTGAAAACACGTTATTTGTTTCAAGCAGGTTTCAAATTACTAATTGCTTGTTATTTTTCGCAGGAAATCCAGTTGCTCAAAACATTTATTTGAATTTAATAAACCGTCGTTTGTCACGGTCCGAAATATAAAGTGTTGCGGTACTAATTGTGATAATTCTTGAAACCAAGAAAATCGTAATTACTCCTTTCTGCCAAAGCGTCAGAACTTCCGATGCAAAATAACTCATTTCTCTCATTCTTTTTTCCTCTGATAGCTAATTTTAGTTTTTTTAAAGGTTCCAGCAGTGGTGTAAAATTCTCGACATCGATAAGGAAAACGTATCACCTAAAACTGTCGTTTGCAGCAAACACTTTTAGCCACCTTCAAGAAATTTCTCAAAGAGTTTTACCGACCTCTCCACCCCATTTGTGTCTTCACCATTGTCTGTGTCTTCACCGAAAGGGGGGTGGGTTAATTTATCCTTTATATGAACAAGAAGATAAAGATTAGAAATAAGTTTCACTACAGTTTGAAGTAGAAGAATCAGAACCACATTCAACTGTTTCCATTTTCCTTATATACTCAAGGCACGAAAATTATTGCTACTATTTATAATAAAATATTTTGCAACCGGGAAATTATTTCGATGTTTGGTTATTACGGCAAAGTTGTTTTTATTGGTGAAGATGCATTATTAAATCTATAAACAACAAAGATGTTTTATTCACATTAGATAACAATTGCTTCAATATATCAATATCAATATTGCCGGTGGATACACACTTTCAGTGGTGACAACACGGCGGTGGAGTATATTTTTTTAGTTGTTATTTAGACGTTTGTCAGACGTAAAGTTAGTAAAATTGTATTTATGCTAAATCAATTTTTGTCGCAATAAATTTGGTTGTAAATCTGCATCACAACAACTTTCAGTTTTTAATTAATTATTCGAACTTAGAAAGTCGCAAAAATTCTCCATTCGAGATGACGAAAATCTGTACAAAAATTAAGTCACATTAAATCCTGAGCATGGTTGTAAAACTGCTCTGACATATCTTGTCGTTAAACTTACTTAATAATTGATGATGGTGGGTGGGTGTGGTAGACACCGAAGCACGAAAAACTGTTTTTTTGTTCTGGGACGTAAAATATAAAGTGTGATGAGAAGAGATGGTAAAGGGTAAAGTGAGACGGATGGTGCGCAGCGAGTGCTATGGCTTCATTTATGCGGCATCAAAAATACATGGAGAAATTTGAACTGCGAACCAGCCAATCACATCATTCCAGCCCCGTCCTATACTGAATAACTAACATTGGAACTGTTTATCTCTGTAGGATACCATGATCGTTGGAGAACTTTGAGCTTCGGAAAGACTGGCATTGCAAGTCTCCTGGGCCCAATAGTCGTATCTGGTACGGTGAATTCCAGCCTTTCCAACGTCTTGCAATGTCTCTCAAGCAATTCCTGATAATTCAAGATCATCGAGCCTCCATCAATGTTCAACTGTTTACCCAGCACAAGTTTCTTTAGCGGTTTGTTTAAGCCCTGGATCAGTAATTCAAGCCCTTTTTGAGTAATGTGACGGAATTCAATTTCCTCCAAGTGAGGAAAATTGT